TTGTGTACGGATTTCTTCGAGATTGACATGATTTATTGAATTGATTTATCGATTCTCCTACCGCTGCATTGACTGGTTTTATTGACTATGGATTTCCGTATTGCATAGACTCATTGACCATTGATTGACTTGATTTGATTGACCTGCATATTGATAGCATCGTCGTGCTTTGATTTCAGTTGTAGGCTTTGGTGACCTGCTGGGCTTTGTAAGCTCATTATATGTGGTTAAATTAAATTTTCAGGTCCGAGCAAGGCAACTGGAATGGAGTTCGATCAGAATGTCAGACGAATCCTTTCACTATTGATATCTGGGGCATCACAAGCAGCTCCCAAAACAGAAGAGCTACTTGGAAGAGGGGGAAAATCAGAAGGGTTTATCGTCATCTCGGCCAGTCGGCCGGGAAGAGAACACAAGCGTGCCAAACCCTAAAACCCATAGCTTCTCTTTCTATCTCTGCCCTTCCCGACGATAAAATTTTGACAACCTAGTAGAAACAGAAATGAATTATGTGAAATAGTTAATGAGCCTGAGAGGCAGTACAAGGTCTATAAATAGAAATAAGGAAAGGCAAAATCGTAAATACAAGGTTTTCAAAGTTGTTCGCTCACAGCCTCCCTTAAATTAATCATTTGCTTGTTGAATGGTTAATTTGCAACGAAGGTTATGGAAGCAAGCAGGAGAAAAAGACTTTGTTAAAATGTCAGCGATCTAATCCGTTGAGGGTATATGCATGAGAGAAATGTCGCCGAAACTAATATGTTGTCGGATAAATTGGTAGTTAATCTCGATGTGCTTGGTTCGAGCGTGGAAGACGGGATTCTTAGCTAGAGCAATATTGGCCGATGTGTTATCACAGTAGATAGTGGTGGGAGAAGTTTGTTGGAGATCAAGTTCGGCAACAAGGCGTCTTAGCCATATGACGTCGGAGGTAGCTTCATAAAGAGATCTATATTCTTTCTCGGTGGATGACTTGCTTTTTGACGAACCATGAAATAAGATTGGGTCACAAGAAGGTGCAGAAGCCAGAGATAGACTTCAGATTAGAGGCATCTGAGGCCCAATCGGTGTCGGTGTTGGTCTGAAGATTTAATTTTTCGGTTGTAATGGGGAGGCCGAATGATAATGTGACTTTAATATATCATAGTAGCCTCTTTAAAGCTTGAAAATCTAGGACCGTTGGTTGGTGCATATGTTGACAGATTTGGTTTCTAGCGAAGGTGATGTCCGGGCGAGTGATAAAGAGATATTGTAAAGAGCCGGCGAGACGGTGATACAAAGTTGGATCTTGAAAGAGCTGTCTGTCAGTACTCGTCGGTTTAGACTTGGGAGTGATGAGAGTAGGTGCCGGTTTGCATTCATCGAGCTCGGAGTCGTGAAGAAGTTTTTCCGCGTAGTGTTGTTGAGTGAGAATTAGACCAGAGGACTGTCAGAGCACTTGTATGCAGAGGAACAGCGAGATTTTTCCAAGCTGTTTGAGTGCAAATTGAGATTGTAATTTGGATAGTAGTGTGTGAATAGCAGCTGTGTCGTTTCCTGTATGGATGCGTAAATAAGTAGATAAATTTTTATGTTATTATGACAAAAAATTAGGAGTGAAGGGTCGGAGCGACTGAATCCTTGAGTCTGGAAAAAGCTGGTTAGTTTTTCAAACCATTGTCGTGGCGCCTGTTTGAGGTCGTAGAGGGATTTGTGTAATTTGCAAACTAAGTTTGGTGAGTTAGTATCCACAAAGCCTGTTGGTTGGCGCATATAAATGTCTTCGGAGAGGTCACCGTGCAGGAAAGCATTGGATACATCGAGTTGTAGAGGGTCTCATTGTAAATGATGCCGAATTGTTAGTCATAGCCCTAAGCCATGCACAAGACAAGCTTTATAACGATCTATTTGGATGTTAGGTAGGAGCTTCATTTTGAAGGTCCATTTGCATCCGAGGATGGGTTTGTTCGTTGGAGCGGGTACGAGAGTCCATGTTCCTTGTCTCAGAAGAGCGTGAAATTCCTCGGACATAGCTTGTCGCCAGTGATTGAATTCAGCTACTTGAGAGTAGCTAGGTGTTAGGTGTGGAGTGAGTGGAAGTGGTACTGACAAGATATAGAACTCTTTTGGGTTTAGTGATGCCTGATTTAAGCGGAGTCTGCATCAGATGAGAGGGTCGAACAGGAGAAGAATGAGTGATGTCGGATGGCACATCAGTGAGTTGTATGGGATTGATGGTAGGACTTGGATTTGGGGCTTCGGATGAGGTGGTAGTGTGCTGATTGTGATTTGGTTGAGTGGTAGATTGCAGCAGATGTGGGTTGGTGATTGAAGTCGGGACAAGAAGAAGAGGAGGGGTGTTGTTGGAGACAAATATTGGTTGTGGTGTGTGCAATGAGGAAGGATCTCTGTAAGGAAAATGGTGTTCATTAAAGATTACATGGCGTGAGATATGAATCTTGTTTGAGGCAAGATCGCAACACTTGTATCCTTTATGAATGGAGGAGTATCCTATAAATATGCACTCATGCGACCGCGGAGAGAGTTTGTTGGTGGCATATGGTTTGAGCCAAGGGAAACATTGGCATCCGAAAGTGCGAAGATGATTATAAGTGGGTAATCTGTCATGTAAACAATGGGACCGGAATTTACAGAGAGAATGATGTTGATGGAAGACGGTTGACTAAATAGTTCGCAGTTGAGAGTGCTTCTGCCCAAAAAAAGTTACGGGTAGATTAGAAGCATGTACAAGAGTGACAGAAAGATCGAGCAGATGTCTATGCTTTCGTTCTACTAGACTGTTTTATTCAGGAGTGTGGGGGCAGCTGAGTTGACGTTGTATGTCGTGATTTTGAAGGAAGGAGGTGAATTCATTGCTGGTGAATTCGCCTCCACCGTTGGAGCGGAAGGCATTCGGGGTTGTGTGAAATTGTGTGTTGACAAGTTGGCAGAATAATTTGAATTTGGAGAAGGTTTCTTGTTTCGTGTGCATTAGGTACATCCAAGTGAAGCGAGTAAAATCTTCTATAAAGACAATGTAATAATGAAAGCCATCCAAAGATTGTAACGGGGCAGACCCCCAAACGTCCAAGTGTATTAGATCGAAAGGAAGAGACGATATCAAAGTAGTTTTATTAAATGTAATTTTGTGACTTTTGGCCATAGTACAAGATTTGCAAAAAAAAAAAAAAAAAAAAAAAAAGAAGAGACATTTATAATAGCAAGAATTTGTTTAGCTGAAGTTGTAAGCAGACGGTGATGTGGATGCCTAGACGTGCGTGCCAAATTTGCGCAGTGTTAAGACTTGCTTGAAAGGTCGTGGGTTTGGAGTCTTTAGATTGTTGGAGTTGTTATAAGCCATTATGAAGACGCCCACGAAGAAGCGTACGATGGTCCTTGAGATCCTTAATTTAAAATCCATTAGCATCAAAACTTATAGAGACATAGTTGTCAGAAGTTAATTTGGATACGGATAAAAGATTGTGAGCTAAATCCGAGACATGAAGTATTTGCGTAAGTGAAGCTTACGGGGAGTGTCGCGTAGGGGAAGTAGACCTTGAACGGAGTGATGAACAGGTAACGTTGATCCGTTTCTGATTGAGACGCTGTCTTGGCCGTGATAGGTGTTGGAATATTGAAGGTTGCTAATGTACGGGGCTAGGTGGTTTGATGCCCTGGAGTCGATGATCCAATCTTGAGTAGAGGTAGGGTTCGGTTGAGCAAGAAGTGCAGTCATCGATCTTGGGTTTTTGG